GATATTTAATAAAGAAAGGTAACACACAAAATGTTAAAAAAACGCCCCTTTGGACGTAATTTAAAATCTGAAACATTTCAGATTTTTTTTTTTTTTTTAAATTAGAAAGAAAATTTATTTTGGATAACAGATATCATTCCTTGGAAGACTGTCGAAAACTAGCATACAAAGTTATGTCTGATGAAAAGTACCACGTACAAAAAGAAATCCGTAAGTGATATTTTTTCTAGTATTTATGACTTTTCATATCCAACGGCCATTAGCTGAAAGATTAAAACATTCATAATATTAATTCAAGAAAATGCTACTAAACTGATGCAATATCAGCATGTAACTGGAAGCAATGTTTCGGTATCAAAATTTGATCTATATCAGTTGTAAAAGAAATATAAATATCTCATTCTTAGTTAGATATTTGTGAGGAAAACAGTAATATTTTTATTAATTTTAGAATGTAAAGAGACTATCATGCATAAAGTTTTGCACACGGAAGCCTTGATAGTTCATCAAAGTCTCAGTTTGTTGGTCTTTTCGTAAAATTTACTATTATTTCGCAGTTTTCTAATAGTTTCTAAAGTAATAATCTAAGTGACACAATAGATTGTCAGATAGATTGACAGACATTTCATCCTAAAGATAATTAAGAGCCTAAAATATGCATTATTTTGTTGTTTATTCAAGATATAATATTTTACAACATGGCATTTGCTTTCAAAAAACAGAGTTTGCCATAAAGCTTCATCATTCATCACACGTCGCCAATGCTTCTTTATCCGTAATAATTCTATAGTACAAATTATAATATTATTATTAGAACTGCAGTTTATTCGTATTTTAGTCTTTTTAATCAATTTAAAGCTTTTAAAATAAAAATTTTCGTAGTAAGCTTTGCACTGGATGGTATCAATATTTTGCATCGTATCTACTTTTTAACATTGCTTTCGTTTGTATTCATTTTTAATCCTAATTAATTTCATTTTCATTGAATTATATTAAGAGATTAAAATGAATTCTACTTAATTTTCATTATTTTATAATAAAAATTTCTTATTTAGAAAACTTTTGGGATATTGTTTAAATTTTTTATAAAAATGAAAATTTATTACTTTTCTATGAAAACATTAATAAAAATGAAATTTATTTTTAAAATTCAGAGTAAATAATTTTTAAATGCACAAGTTTAATTTTTATTTTAGTGAAATAATTAGTTTAAAAAAAGACGCCAAATAGAGTTTCAATCCTTATTTATCGGCTTTTCCATTTATTTCCGTATTTGACGGCATATAAGACGCACTCTTATTTAGAAGGCCACACACATGTAGATGTAGAAAAAGTTATGTGTGTCTAGACCTTTATCCGGGCTAAAAATAGCATTCAGTATTGAAAGTTAACCTGTGTCCTTCACATATAAGACGCAGGTAACGTTTATGAGACCAAATTTAGGAAAAAAGGCGCGTCTTATATGCCGTCAAATGCGGTAGTTAAGACATTCTATTAGGCTATAAAGTATTTCTCCCGCCTTTCTAGCGTGCCTTCGTGGTGTAGTGGTTCTGCGCACTGGGCCAGTATTTCAGAGGTCCGTGGTTCGATTCCCGCAGAAATTCACTGCTCATTTTTCATCTTTCCTGCTTCCAAAATACTTAATATCTCTGCAGTGGCGCCCGAACTAAAAGGGTGTTGTATGATGATTCTCCTCACCCAGGATTTGGCGATTGAGTCCCCTAAAAACCTCAGTCGCTCTTTAAAAGGGGAAGTATATAAGGTATTTCTCCCGCCTTTCTAGCGTGCCTTCATGGTGTAGTGGTTCTGCACACTGGGCCGGTATTCCAGAAGTCCGTGGTTCGATTTCCGGCAAGATAATTGCTCATTTTTCATCTTTCCTGCTTCCAAAATACGTAATGTTTCTACAGGGTATTTCTCCAATTCTATCTCAAGAAATGTTAGGGAACAAGGAAGGCTGCAATACGCCTTCATTACTACTATCATGTAATGAATACCTGCATCATAAAAATTCTGGCTAAACTTAGTGCTGGACACTACTCTTGCAAAAAAGCTTGTATTATGTGATGCACATAAGATAACTTAACATGCACGGACAGAATAAATTTTTTTAGAAAACTAATTTTAAAAATTAAACAAACCGTACAAAATCAGCCGAGCCTTAAATCCAATAAGTAAGGCAAAAGATATATTGCTGCATATTTTTTTACTTAATAACGTACTGCTATTAGGCTTATATTAGCAGGAATCTTGAAAAATCAATGCTCTTTTCACGGCAGTCAAGTGAAAAACTTCCTATTGCTAGCTGGATATAATAATTACTACACAACATCTATAATGAAAATGGTGTTTGAATTACGGTTTCGACTCTCGGATGCAAGAAATGGACATTGATATCTTCTAAGAAATGTTATTTTAGTTTTAAACTAACCAGTTTTGTTCAGTTACTTGGCTTTTCTCGCTTCCCTCATTTCCATTTCCTGCCAGAATGTTATTTCAGTTTCGCCTGATATGCAAAGTAGGATAGAAAGATAGCATTTAAGCTAGTGTCTGAGTTACTTCAGACAGAGCGTGTTCTGCCGTTCGGCCACGTTGCTTGTCTGATTTAAGCTGGCGTAAATATTGCCGGTTTGTAATTGACGGTTTGTGTACGTCGGTGGTAGGGCTAAGAGCCAACTCGTGTTAATTATCTCTGTGAAGATTCGGCTGATTCTTAACCCTATTTTAACTTTATATTTCTATTTTAAGTCTCAGCCAAAAGTATTGGCTAAGTTTGTAAGCACCAGGAGTGCCGTTTGTAAGTTACTTCTTGAGCTTAATAAAAAAAGATTTTACGCTTAGCATTTCTTGTCATTGGTACAGTTTGACCTTAGCGAATTGTCACTTCAGTGGTCAAAGTAAAAATCTAGTCATCAAAGTAAAATTAATTTGGCTATAATCTTAAAATCTTAACTTGTGATATTGACAGGAACCGGCAACAGGCGTTAAAGCTTGATTCTGTCCGAACTAAAGTAATCATAAACATCAAGAATCACTACGAAGAACGAAGCAACACTATACAATACAATTAAAAATATATATTAGCAGTAAGTTTGCACTCTAATCGCCAAGTATTACACACTGTAGAAAGAAATCATTCAAATTATGAAATTCGATTAACTCATGAAGAAATATGACTATGTTTCAAGAAATTTTTCAGTGTCTATGGAACTAAAATATCGTAAAACCTTCAAGCAGCATTAATCCAAATTTTATAAATAAATTCCTTCCATATTTAATTTTATCCTTTTCTTAATGTTCAATAATTAATCTTTAATATAATCCTCTGTGACGTTGCATTCATATGACATCAAATATTTATGCATTTTCCAGAATTAACCAAGTTAAAATATGCATTAGTATATACTTTTCACAAAACTAAACGTAACGTTCCTGTCAGTGACATTACGGATAATTCGAAAGCTGAAAGCATCACTAAAGAAAACAATCTAAAACTATTTTCTCGAGACTTCACGATCTGAAATGAAAGGTCAACTAACCATAAAGAATTGAAAATGAAGAACTCTTTTCCTGGTTCCTCTGGTTGCAACAGGTGCTGGAAAATAAGTATGCGCGATGGGTTCATGCAAATGAGAGTAATATGTCAAATAGAACGAAATAAACAACTAAAAATAGAGTACTTAGAAGAAGGAGCGGTCGCGTAATTATGATGGATGCCCTGTGTGTGAACATAAGCAAATTTTGCTCGATGGTCATTCAATATCTTTGCTCGAGTGGAAGAAAACATTTTGGTATCATAAGGAAAATTACACCTGATAATGTTCTTTGCACCAGAACTAATCTACACGTGTTTCGAGAGGGCATAAGATTAAAAAAAATGTAATTGTCAGTTTCAGAGTGAGAAAGTTTGTTGGCATTTCTTGAAGCACATAAGCCTATGATTACTTAGGAATCGGCAGGTGAGAGCTAATAAATTGGAATAAATTTTCACCGACCATGTTTCGAAAAAGTATACTTTCGGAAGAAAGAAAACTAATATATTCCGATACAGACATACATAACCAGCAGATTCCATGAAGTCGATGTACCCATCGTCAGCTGCAATTCTAATATCGAGAGACACAGGCAGCGGCAAAGAAACACGTTACAGGAAGTTTGGTATGTAAAAACATGTAGGGTATATAAAAGAAATGTAAGAGTACAACATATATTACAAACAAAAAAATTCGAAATTACTTATTCAAAACAGAGCTAGTTTCATTAGCGAAAAGGACTCGAATTTGGCATTTGATACTAATTATATTGTTTTTCTTTCTGTATACTCCTACTATATTTAATTTATTATTAATAATGATATCCATTCCAAATACCTATTTTTATCAAATCAAACGCAAAAATTTACTGCATGTGCAGGAACAAAGCTCGAATTTTCTAAACCTATTTCCATACTTTGAATTATTCCATTCGCAGAAATAATAAAACTATTGTTTATAAATGGTCAACCAACAAGAGCTTATTTTAAAAGTCAGATATTAAATGAAAGAAAATAGATTTAATCAAATTTTATACTAAAGCTAAAAAATACGTTTATGATTTTAACCTATAACAATTATGTATATAATATACTTGTGCTTATTAAGGGACATGATATAAACATTTTAACATTTTAAAAATGTTTAACGACATAGCTTCTCAATTTTCTATGACTAATTTAGGTATTTGTTTCAGAACTGACTTTCTCCATAGTTATACGATACATATTATTAAAAACGGCTTGAACAAAATTTATGATGAAAATTATAACTGATATCAGTTACTATTAATCATATTTCCCTTCAAATATAAGGCCTTTCAAAATGTTTAAATCATTATTTAAAACAAAAGAATCTTCATATCAGCTTTCTTCAATAATTTATCGCAGCTAGTGCTTTCTGAGAGGCAACTTTCGGTTACTGTTATAAAAGTAAAATTTCAATATAAAATCTACATCTTATTCTTACCTTGATGAGCCGGGAATGTGGAAGTCAGTGGTTTGACCAGAGTGCCCTGCTTTACAAAAGGCAATATTGGTGGCTTCAGATGCAAGAAAGATGGCGTATAGATAGACTGGTTGACAGATGAGAACCCGTCGTCCATATAAATGCCGCTTCGACCCATAGATGCCAGTTGTCGTCCCTTAGGCAGGAACATCACCAAGAAAACGACGCTGGCCGTCACTACAACTCCAAAGGCAAGGCAGGGATCATGATGGCGAGTTGCTGATACACTTGATGTCACAATCCATGCTACCCACAATGGAATGGTCAAACCGATAGCTACGCCGATATACAATGCTTCACCGTGATTTTCTGGCACAGTTCGTGCTCGGATAGCCAATAAGGCTACACCAACCATTAATAGCATGTTATAGGCCAAAGAGGCCACAGTATCTGATGCTGGAGTAGCGCAGGTTACATAACAAGAAGTGAGGTCCACAATAACTACAGTAGCTGGACGATATACCAACCACTGGACAGCTATAACCAGTTGCACAGCAACTGCAAAGAACAAGAGCAGGCCTTGATATGCAGTACTTAAATATACGCCGACATGAAGGCTTAAGAGGAAGACACACTTCACCAAAAGAGTAGCAAACACAAGAACATAAGCGATGCCTACTCCTGCTCTGGTAATAGCACAGGTGAACCAGTTAGGCGTAGGAATAAAAGCAAATCCCAGCAATGAACTGAGAAAAAGTCCAAGTAGAAGAATTTGTCCTAAGAAGAGATGCCGCCGGCTTCCGCAGGACTTGTAAAGAACATATACTTCGAAAAGTAATATAGCTGTCACATTGACCGTACACAAGACCACAAGTGGAATGACCCAGGATTCTTTTCGCGGATGGATGGAGTCGGTGACGGAAGAACAGTTGATGAAGGAAGTTCCGGGAATAAGAAGAGTAGAATTTGGTGTCCATCGTAGTGACGGTAAGCCTTTTGGTATATAAGTCCTGTTAGCCATAGAAAGGACTGTTATCCGGCGGTGTTGCAGATAGCAGGATTTGCTACCGACACCGCCTTTATGTTGTTATTCTTGTACAGACACTTCTGTGATTTCACGGTATTTGCTGAAAAAGATTAAAAACGTTTTAGTCAGCCTACTGAACAAACAAGCACATATCAATGATTAATGTCATATATAGCATTTGGTGTGAAGTATAAAAAATAGTAATTAAAGGAAATACATTTTTTTTTTTTTTTTTTTTTTTTTTTTTTTTTAAGTTAAAGGGTATAAAAATTTTAGCGTGCCTCTTCTGCATGTAATATCATAAAAATGCCTTGAAGTAAAAGTTATAATTTATCACGATAGAATTTATGTTTACAGTAATTCATTAATAAAAAATCATATAAATGCTAATTTAAATTCCAAACATCGGTTTGTCACGAGAAGTTCAATGCTTCTAGGTATCCATGCTTGTACTACCGAAATATGTGACTTCACTTTTCAACAGAAATGAAAATTAAGAAAAATATTAATAATTAGATTCTTCTTTTTGAATTTATGATATTCCACTAATGAAATTGTTTTTATCATATTTTGATTAAAGGGTACTTAAAGCAAGAAACAATAATTGATTTTAAAATTTCATTACAAAAAGTACCAAATAATTATAAAATTAGAATATAAAAATATGCTCAGGTGTAAGCATGTTATTTTATGTTCTATATAATTATATTATTTATGTTATATATTATTTCATTATATAACATTACATTCATTATTATATTATTTATGTAATATATCAAATATTGAATTAATGAACTAAAATTCATTGAAATCGAAATAAATTTCCGAATATTTGCGCAATAGCTGCAAAGTCAATAATAATAATTTATTTACTAAAGATAAAGAAAGATAATAATAATTTATTTACTTTGATAAATAAATAATTTATTTACTAAAGATAAAGAAAGATAATAATAATTTATTTACTTTAATAAATAAATTATTATTATTTTATTGACTATATTTACTATTAATTATTTACTGTAGTAAATAAATTATTATTTGTGTAATACAATATATATATAATTTAAAGTTAAGTTGCAAGAACAAACGAAAAAAGATCAATTTTGGTCAAAATTTTGCGCATTGTGCTGCAAAATTAAGGAAATTAGGAGATAAATTTTAGTACGCACTCCAAAAAGTTACCAAAAACTGTGGCTCCGTGAAAACTTCAACATAAGCATATTTAGTTGCTATGAAATGTGTGAAGGAGGAGAAAAATACAATACTTGAATATTTACAAGTAAAATTAATAAAAAGTAAGCTATGCTAAACGAATTAAGTAATTTTTAACACAGTAAAAAACAAATTATTTGAACGAGGTAAAATAAAAATAATAAGCTATATGCTAAACGAACAAAGTAGATTTTAAAACACAGTAAGATACTAATCAATTGATCAAGGTAAAATATAAAAATATTAAAATTAAGGAGCGGTAAATGGTTAATTAGCCAAATTGGAGGTTCATTTTGGCTTGTCAAGGGAAATTTTTTAAAATGAATTTCGAATCAAGCTAACTCCATTACGCGTTTCTCCGAAACAGACAATTGAAACTTTACGCGACAAATTTTTTAATGAATTAAATATAAACTATGTCAAAAACCTTAGTCTCGATTCTCTGTTCCAGTTTCCCGACGCGTCCGCATATATTGAAACTTTAAGGTGTAAAAATATATATATATATATATATACATTATTATATTATTTATATTATATATTATATATTATATATTTAAGTTATATAACGTATTATTTCAAATTCGTATCACACCGATGAGATATTAAACGTACTGTATTTAAAATAACGAAATTTTTCCATTGGTTTGATTATTTCGCTTACAGTAAAGCTTTCAAGAGCTATTTGCCTGAGGGAAGGGACGCCTTCGTGAAGGACTTCCTAAGAGAAACTTGTTAATATGGTGCTTTATACATGGACAGAACCACTAAAACCAACTACGCAGCCAACCCGTTCGCCTGGGATCGGACTACCAACGTTCAGCGACATTACTGCTCTACCGCTGGTGAGTGAGCCTCAAACTAAATAACTAAATACGACTTTACAAGTCCAGACTTAGACTTTAGTCTCCTTCTTTATTGTGATTATAAATCCAATGATATCAGTTTTCTTTCTTTGTGCAGAGAATTAGGTACAAGTAAATGATACAAAAGCAGAAAACATTCAAGACAAATGGTTTCGTGCATGACTGTAATATGTCAACATTAACTGTGTAAGAAATTCTTGTCTTAATATCAGTCTTTTTAAGCAGAAGAATGTTTGATGTCAAGAGAAAATGCGTCTACTGTGCACGCAATCCCACATGTCACAACTTCTGTTGTCGATGCATATTACAAGGATAATGAAACACCGAACAGTAGTGTGATTTGTTCTTTTTGCTCATCAAATTTGAGCGCATTTGGTTAAAAAAAAAAAAGACAAAGAAGAAGAAGAAAAGAAATGAAAACTGCCAGTTGTTAATTATATATTTTTACTATTCGCACGTTGCTAAAGAGCCAAGCTGTACGTCAAATATTCCGGCATTAACATTGCGTGCAAGGTCGAGAGGCTAGAATTCATCCTTCACTTTATATTACGCTTTACAACCCATGATACAATAGCAGTTTGTCAGCTACAACCATTTCTTTTTAAAGTGTTGGATTTTTTGTATCTAGTTTTGGTGGGAATGATCTGTGGTGCTCAAATCATTTAATGGGGCAGTTACCGTTTTTCATGTACTCAAAGAAAGATCCGTTACGTAATGCATTGGAAATAACAGCTTTATAAACCATGAAAAATTTATATTTTTCGAGTAACATGTAATTTACGCTGAAATTTCTAGCATACTCCTCTTCACTTAACCAGAAATGCTCTCAAATTTGATTTATCTAATGTCATAATTAGTTTTGATTTTCCGGCGTTAATTAGTTTTTATTGAGATAATTACTTTTGATTCTATTTGATAATTCTAATGCCATAATTAATTTTAATTTTGATTATGGAGGTAGCATAATTGTCTTGTACTCCAATAATGCTCATTTGTCTCTTGATCCAAATTTCAGTTGTCTTTTTTCCTAAATAATTCTTAATTTTCCAATTCTAGTCACTAATTTTTTCAATATCGAAGAAATTCCTTTGGGCTAAACCTAATGAGCTATTTTCTGTATATTTTCACTCATTTTCGGCCATCAAACTGAGCGAGAATATAAACCATACATTTATTTTTATTTATTTATTTATTTATTTTTGTTGATCGCGACCTGAGCGATTTGCAGAGTTTGTTCGAATTCCTTTTGCAAGTAATAAATGCACAGAAAGCATTCGATTACATCTCGGAAAATGATTCCAAAACATTGTTCACCAATTACTAAATTCCTTAATCTGTGATTTTCGAAAATATTACTCTTTCTAGAAAACACAGTTGATGGAATTTCAATACATTTTACAATAAAAAGCTTAGCCTCAACTGTAGAATTCTCTATGACCCCTTCAGTCATATGTATATATATAGAGAGAGAGGAAAAAAAAAACTTTTTTCCATACGCACTTTGGAGCTTCTTTTCCTTTTATTTCTATTATATGAGTTTTATAGTTTTCTAAAAGGAAGATGATTAAAATAAAATACAGAAAAAAACGTATATTTAAACTAAGTTGTTAGTAAGTAATTATCATAAAAGTAAATTTTAAATCTTACTCGAAATATAAGGTTCTAATCTAATATTTTATACTTATTCGTTTCGAATTTTGTAATCCTAGTAATAGTCTTGTAGAGTCATTAGCTTTTTTTTTATTTTGGTGACGTGAAAATGTGCAGTACCCTCGCTGGGACTCGAACCCTGAATCTCTCGACGCGTCCAGTATGCTTCCAATTACACCAGGAAGACATGCAGAAAGGAGGGAGAAAAGACCTTATACACTCCCCCTTTTCTTAAAAGGCGACTGGGGATTAGGAGATCCAGGCGCCAAATCCTGGTGGTGAAGAGTCATCATCTACCATGTTTTAGTTCGGGCGCCACTGTAGAGCCATTATTTTATTTTGAAGCAGGAGTTGAGCAATGCCCTTGCCGGGACGCCAACCTGGACCAATCAAATACGCACTGAGTGTGCTATCGTTACACAACGAAGGCATGCATCGGGGGAAAAGACCTCATAGTGCTTCTGTCACACCGTGAACGTATGCTGGAAGGAAGTAGAAAATATCCTATAAGCTCACCAAGCAATTTGAAATTCTTAAAATAACTCATAAACGTGTTTGAGATCCATGTTTCTAGAAAATTAAATTAACAACAACAGTGAAATTTTAACAGATTAATTATAACTGCCATTAACATTAATGTAAATCTCTGCATGATAATCCAAATTTTTTACTGTGGCTCTTACAATTGCTTTTCTGGGTACAAATGCTGACATACTAACTTAAATTACACGTATTCCGTTAAATATATATTATTAAATTAATGTCTACCAAAATAAAAGAACACAGACAGATCCGGGTTTATAGAAACTGAGGCAACGGTCTAGAGAAATTGAGGCAATGGTGTATAGAAACTGAGGCAAACCGAGGTGTTATCACTTAAATTAAAGTTCAAATAAATGTTGAAAAACGTCCTCCCATGTAGAATACATATAAATATTCTAATCTGTTTACGTGCTCTATAGGTCATTGAATTTTCAAAACGCACTGCCTATTTTAAATTTAATATCAAATGGAATTTGTTTTCTAAGAAAGTTCAAAAATCTGTTCATAAGCGAGGTTCAAAATTCGGTAGCTGAGCTGTTTCCTACATCATAATAAGTATTTTGTAATTTATTTTCCATATTATTACTGTCTGTTAGGCTATGCACAACATTATTTTTTTTAACTTACGACCGTCTCTTTTCGCTGAATCAGGCTTTGACCTTCTTAATACCTGCCACTGACCCTAAGAAAATACCAAACTACTGCAAAGCATAACCCGTAAAAATAAAATATATTTAAAATGGAATGAGCGTATGCACAAGTAAATAAACAGCAGTGCAAAGGGCATTGTTATGTGGAGTAAATAAGCTAAAGAAACGATGATTTG